CCTGGACGCCCTTGTGCACCCTGCCTCTCACAACCTCCCATTACTTGGGCCTGACAAGTTTTTGCTCCAGCGTTGTGAAGACTATGCCCAATTCGCTCTCCGTGATGGGGTACGCGTCCGATGCCCTTTTCTACTACCTAACCGAACCCTTTTCTTGGCTTCTTGCTCTTGCTTCTTTCGTTTTTTATCTCTTTATTATACGGAGTTGCTTTAAGCCATATTATTCATTTACCGCATAGCGTATCCTGGGTGCCAACTTCCTGCAAGCGCACACAGGCTGTCTTACAGCATACTATTTACTGGTCTTAGGACACATGATCATTATAATTAGCATTCTTGATGTAAATGCACTGTTTCCGGCAGCAGTATCCTAGCTTGCGTAGTCCAAACTGAGTAGAAACTGCCACATTCTCGTGGATAGAGCTCAGTGGGCTGGAACCAAGCGAAACCCTGTTGTGCTCCTGGCTTCAAACGTGTAGTTACTGGAAATAGCATAATCCAAGATTCATACTTCTTCTTGAGATTTAGGGGATATGAGCCCAGCGCTGACTTTAATCAGAGCCATTTCTGCATAATAATAGCGTCAGTAATGATACCAGAACTATTATCACTCAGCTACACTCCTAATTAGTAGTAGTAGTAATAGTAGTAGTATAAATAACAATAGTAGGAGTAGCAGTACCAGCCTTGGTTTCCATCAGTCTGTCTTGACACCTACTGAAGGTAAGTGAGGGTAAATAGCGCGGGAGTACCAGCGCAAAAAGACTGCTGACACCTAAAAATGACTTAGGCGGTGTTCTGGCCTGCATTGGAGAAAGCGGCCTACGCCCGAGCCAGTTCGGCCATCTTGACTTTGTCTTGTCACTAGTTCAAACGTGTAAGGGTTTAGAGTGAGGTAGACAGTTGTGCGTCTATTTCACTTAAATTTCGTCTGTGTCTTCAGTCAAAATCTCTGCTCTTGGGCATATGGTGGACATGATCGACATCGATGGTCGAACTACCAAACTATCATACGGAGTGGATAGTGGCAATATTCAACCAGTCTTTGATAGTCTTACCCTTCCAGCATCCCGGCATTTTTTTGCCCCAATGAGCACCACCCTCTGCATATGGGACAAAACGGCCTTTTCTTCCTGAGCCCCTAAACCGAATAATTTAGTTCCATTCTAAAATCTTGCCTCTAGGTCACTCCGAAGGAGATTTTGACTGTCTGGCTACACACCTCTGTCGGTGTTTCTGAGCTCTTGCGGAATACTTGCTGGATCTCGGCCTCTTCGTCTGTCGGTCTACTCTCCGCAGATACAGTCAACCTCCCGACCCTTCATTCTGCCATTTTAACTCGCGCCAAGTCTGTTCAGAAACCCGAGGGCGTCCAGCAACGAGAGCAGCAGCAGCAATATCCAAAGTTGGAACCCGCTACAGCTGCCCTCTCCTCCTCCTCTGTCAGTACGACCGGCACCAGTGTTGGTTACGGTAGGCTATTTTTTCTCTAGGTTCTGCAGTGTACTACCAACGACTTGTTTCTGAGCTACCTCTGAATCCTACAATATTTTTCTCGGTCTCCTTTCTAGACGCTGAAAACGGTTCCTCCTCTTCCTCCTCTTCGTCTCCCGGTAACGGCGCGTGCTCCCTGTCCTTAGCATCTAGTCTCGGTTCTCCTCCTGTCCAGGACTTCCTCCAAGGTGGCCACATCGATCAGACCGCTCTGCTACCTTTCGCGGATGCTTTGGCTGAGTGTCCGGAACCGACATCTCAGCAGGACAAGAACAATCTGCTGCCCTTCCTGCGTTGTTTGGCCCTGCACAGCGGTCGCACACCCGGTTGTCTGGCAGTTGAGGCACTGGAAGCCCTAAAGAGTGCTGTAACGCTCAGCCTAGACAACGGTCTCTTCCAGATGCTTCCGCCTGCTTTCGACCAGGAGCCGGCCGCCTCCTCACACTGTACGCCCTCTCTGTCGTCTCTCAGTACCGCCGACACGGAGGCGCTCTCTCCTGCTAACGAACGCGCCTCTGCTCTGCGCTCCTGGCTCATCTTCCTGTTTGATCTCCTCTTCGTCTGTCCAGCTACCTACTTGCGCATTGCTGCTCGAGAGTTTGTCAGTCTGACTGTGACTCGCAGTCTAGTCGCTAATTGCTCGCTCATTGGTCTATGTGAGCTGTCAGGTGTAGAGGAGAGAAAGCAGCCCTGGTCTTCCCTAGCTGCGGACCCTGTAAATTACATGATCAACTTTTTGATCACCACAATGGTGGTAAGTTGTGTTCTATCCCAAGGTAGTGAATGCTGAATAAGTACTTTGATACTCATTATATTGTAAATAATATTTCCGGATGTCAGTCTTCTGTGATTTATGTATTGTTTGCACGTTTCTATTTGCCTGTTCAAACTTGACGGGAAACCATTCTTCACGAATGTCGTTAGTCTAACTAGACGTTGTTGCTGTGGATGCCTAGGAGGTTGCACACCCTAGCGCAACGCCCGCAAACATGTAGTTCCCTCCTGACGAAAAAAACCAGTTAAAACACGCATAAATGATCAGTGGTTGCGTGTGACGATCGGATGGAAGAATGGTTTCCTGCGGTATTCTTTGCTCTAAGGCAAACGCTCCATGCTACGCTGGCATATCGACTAATGCTTCATAGCGAACACTTTCGCCATTGACAGTTTGTGTACGCGCCGGACAGGCCACACCTAGACTAACAAGCAGACCCGTCCCGCTGGGCTCCTTTGATTTGGGCATGGTGAGATCGCCAATTTTTCGAGGCCACTGGGCGAACTAGGCGTGAAATGCCATATCAGCATATTTGGCACAATTTGATGCCCAACTCAAAATAATACTTATTACTATCTACTTATGTTGTACAAGTAAAAGTGTTTATGTTCTGTCACATGGTTTAGCTTGCTGCGAACAAGTCATTACCCCGTTTCTCCAATTCCCGACTCGGAATTAGCGCTATCGCGTTGTTTTCTGCTACAAGGGTGTTTTGATATGGCATCAAGTGTCGGTTCTGCCCTTGGAACACACATTTCCTTAGTCGGATAGTAGATTCTGTCATTAGTCATCCGCAAAAACTATATTACCGCCAGTCCCATATTAGAGTCTGCCCTGTTCAGCGTTTCCGGAGTTGTGTGTTGTATTGCGTTTTTGCCGGTTTTTCTTACCCTACCGAGGCACCCCAGGTGACAATTATGTGGCCGGATGACGTGAGGGAGGCATTGTCTGCTTTGAAGTATTCAGTGCTTTCTCGTGGATCGTGGTGGGATTTGCGTTCCAGAACCCCCACGAAATGTGAAAGTCCACGAAATCAACATTATATACCTCTGTGTTCATTTTTGCATATTTTGAGCCCATATAAAGCCTTCCAAATTATTATAGCCATTTACTATATAGTTATACGACGCAAGCCCTTAATATTATCTTCGATATTAGGATAAACTAGTCGGAATTATGTATGTAAATACACTGCTTATATACGAGACACATGTGTGTACTATCTTAAATAAGAGTTTTATTTACTCGGTAAATACAGCCAGCCTTTTATAACGTCCCGTGCATGAAATCAACTGGACATATCAACTTAACAAGCATTTACCAGAACTAAAAAGGCGGATTTTCCACAGAAGTTTGTTTTAAGCTGAGGCTGTGAAAGTTGGCGTGCGATTACTGTATACATTTATTGTCATTTGCCTAAGTCAATTCACCCATCTACATGTAGTCTTTTGACAATTTAGAATTTCGAAGCGAGTTTCAATTCTTTGCTGGTCGGCCTGCTTTTAGCACCTAGTCCTCTGTGCCTCGGCAACTGGGCTGATTGTATGTACACCCCGACGACTTTCGGACGGCTGAAGTCGGCGATTACAACTAGCACTTCAACTGGACTGAAGTCTTTAACAATGTTGTCCTGAAACACATCCCTTCCTCAGCCCCTTTTCAACTATCACATCACGCGGAACTTTTTATTATTTTATGTCTAACATCAAACTTCCCGTGTTTTTTTTTTAGGAAAAGGGAGACGAATTTCGTGACAACACAAGTGAATGCACCGACGTCATTGTAAAATTGCTTGAATTCATGTGGCATGAACAGTTGCCCGTGTCGGTCGCAGACGAACTTCTGACGAAGGAATGTTCCTGGTTGCTAAAAGCTGTAAGATTTCTTGCAACCTTGATATTCGGG